TTTGTCTAACCCCCCCCCCCCCCCCCTCCTCCCGGTTATTGCAATCTAGATTTTGGTTAACAGGTGGACTTGTAGATTAAGAGGACAATTATATAGCCTCTGTGGGATTAAGTACTTGTTGAAGGGTTTGGATCTGCTCGATGGATTAATATATTGATTTAAGTGTTGAGTAATAGACTTGAATTATAGAGCACAATGGGCCAGTTTAGTTGTAGAGAAGGATCCCTTGGAGAATAATATAGATGCTTTCTGTGTATAAATAGAAAGGAGAGAAGTGGTCTGAGATGGTGAAATTGGCTTTACCTCATGAAGAATCTCAGAGCATTGATTAAACTTAAAAGGTTGGTTTCTCATAACATATCTTAAAAGTATACACTATAAGCATTATATATGGAGTACAAATTGGAAAGACCTAGGTCTCGTGCCCAAGCCGTTATATCATACGTACTACTGTCTGCTCTGAAAGAGCCTTAGCCAATTTTATTCCTTACAGATTTCTATCGTGTCCTAAGATTCGAATTGAAGACCTTTTTCTTATGAGAGATTTAAGATGGGTTTAGAATTTTCCATAGTGGAACGTATGATATAGGGGACTTGAGTTCGAATCCTAAGGACAAGGTAGAAATTCGTGAGGAGTAAGATGAGTTCAGACTCTCCCATAAAAGACTGTACGTAAGTTCATGGCTTGGACATAAAGGCCATGTCGTTACAAAAACTGTCATAGATAAATGCAAATATGTCGTGTGGATAAACTAGCAGCTGGTCATCAATTTAAACTAAAATAGATTTTACCCCCTGTCATGCTATTTTGCCTCGAGTCGCTGCAAAGCAAAAAATGGAATTTTCGATGCACCACATAACCTCCACTTAAATGTTACCGAGTTATCACAGCTATGGGGAACTAAGCCTGACCTTTGACCAATTCCAGCAGAGCCAGAAAGGTCATTCAACTGTGTTTTTATTAGTCTGTTCTTCTTACTCAGACATTCTCTAATTAGTCACAACAAAATAAGCTATATAAAGTCTATGTTTGTGCTTAATCGCTACTTCATATTTATAGATAGCAGAATTGGTCGCATTGCTCGAAGTTTTGAATTTCAAAATCTTGTTTTATTCTCTGTTTTACAAAGGGAAAAGATCAAAGAATAATCAAAATTTAAATCATATTTATTTTGGAGCAAAAGTATACCGTGTTAAGTTTTAACGCATGGGGTAAAACTAGTTTTTGTCAAGCACTGATGGAGGAATGTTATGCAGATTGCCGGATTGGGGTCTGTGGTCATGATGCCACTGATTGGGAATATGTCCGATGCTTATGGCAGGAAAACTTTGCTCACTGTCCCCTTGGTTCTCTCCATTATTCCATTAGGTACAAAGTACTATGTGGTTTTGCTTTATCCAATGAGTGTTTCCAAGGGGAAAGTTCCAGCATTTGCTATCATTCTAAGGCAGCAATTCTATTGGCGGAGGAATAATGAGTTGTCATTGATATCATAATTTGATGCAGACAAAGGACATTCAGTTCTAGTTTTAGATCATAGACGAAATATTATTCTGAAATTTACACGTAGAAGACTTAGATTTTATAACTAATATAAAATTATAAACATTTTTGTTTCTTTTGAAGTAGCAGCAACACGTTTAGACATATCATATCTTTAATCTGGTTACATATATGTCCACTCATCATTGTACCGACATTGTGCAGGCATTTTATGACTGGCCAGTGAGATAAATTTACCAGAAAGTAATTTTGAATAAAAAAATCAGGCGATTTTTTCACGTAGAACCTTCTCTCTTTTTTGTTCTGTAAATTGAGTTAATAGTGTCAGTATTCATGTAAAATATGTACAGTTTTTGTTAAATCTTGGTACATAAAATTCATATTTAAATTATAAATTATGACTGTAATTACATGTTAATGAGGTGTATATTGTTTTTATTTTTCCTTGAAAAAGGGCATCAATGAGGTGCACTATAAAGAATATTGGTTTTAAATATAATGAATATTTACTGGTTGAAGAATTATATAAACCAGCAGTATCACATTCATTTCCCATGGATGTGCATGGAAGTTGAACTTGCAAACTTGAATCGGTCATGGAATTCTGTCAACTTATTCTTTGTTCTTTGAGAATGTATTCATCATTACTGGAACTTTTCTCAGTCTGATTCTTAGAATATCCTGGGACTTGTAATTTAAGCAAACTAAAGAGGAGTGTTACCAATTGGGAAATAGTTATGATTTTTTCATTCACAGTTTGACCTTGTTTTTCCCACTAATGACCACATATATGCAGTAATTTTGGCATGGAAGCGGACGACAACCTTTTTCTATGCATACTACGTAATCAAGACTTTAACTGCCATGGTTACTCAAGGCGGTGTTGTCTGCATTGCCCTTGGCTATTTGGTAATTCGAAAACTTAAGGAGCTTATCGTTCTTTATTTTTCAGATATATAATTCTATTAATGCTTAACTTTAGGATCATTTTTTAATTAAAGCCAGTGGAATTATAATTAAAGCGGTACATACAGAACTTGGGAGCATTATTTATCATGTAGTAAGTTGCTATATTATTCATTTTCAACATGTCAATCAAGTGTTTTCTCAGGCAGATACTGTATCTGAGGCGAAGCGTGTCTCTGCATTTGGAGTCCTGTCTGGTGTAATCTGTGCTGCATTTCTTTGTGGTACCTTAGCTGCTCGGTTACTCTCCACCACACAGATATTTCAGGTCTTCCCTATGCCATCAATACAAGCTTCTTGTTTTCTTTCTTGAACCGAGGAAAATTTCCTTCTTTCACCTCGTATTTCCCTTTTACTTTTTGGCCAAATCTAAACTCATAAGTTTTGATGCTATCGAGCTAGTACTTGAATTCATCCAGGTTGCAGCAGTTGTATCTATTGTTGCAGCAGTGTACATGAGAGTCTTTCTTAAGGATACAACTTGCCATGCTGATGCCTTGGAGCAGCCAATCTTGATGATGGAAACAGAAAGCAATCAAGCCTGTTGTGAATCATCAAAGAAAGGGGACTTCATTAAGGGTATTCCATCTCCAAAGGATATATTTTGCTTGCTCAAGAGTAGGTACGATGTCTACGTATCCTTGAAACTTTTCTTTTTGTGTTAATGTTATACCATTTCTTTCAACATCTCCAGGCACCAAGAATTCAGTTATAAATTCTTCTAAGGTTCTATATAAAAATAATTTCCCCAATGTCAATGAGATCGACAGAGATTATGAAAATTGACAAAAATCACGAAGATTGACGAAGATTATGACTTAATATAATTATGTATATAATTATAATAGATTATGGAGATTGACAAATATTATGACTTAACATAATTACATATATAATGATATTTACCATATTTAGATTGATACCAAACTTGTATAGATGGGGATTTATGTAACTTTAGGTGAGAGTTGAATAGATGGGGATTTATGTAACTTTTTAGTTTGTACAACCAAAGCTAGTTGATAATAGTCACCTCATGAACATTTAGTTTTGATCATAGGAAGATAGTGTTATCTGTGACATCCAAAAAATATTGGGAACTTTGCCTAAAAGATTTTGAAACTTGTATTGGTTAGAAGATGTGCTCACAAATTTCAGCACTCAATTACTTTCAAACTAAGGGCAAAGAAAATCTCAATACTTAGAGATCATATCTCTTCAAGTTATGATGACCAAGTAGAAACCTTTTCCAAAATGACCTTCATTTTGGATGCTATGTCACTATCAACTGCTGAAACATATGAAATGTAAATGAAGCCTTATAGAAGTTCAACTACCCACCATATTTACCAAAAACTGTACCTAACAGTAAAAATATTATAAAATTTTTCTAGTAACTTCTTTTGTCAGATAGAACAGGTACACATTATCTGGAATGATGGTAGACATTATCTGGAATGATTACATGAAGTATTCTGCACACCCAAAGTTCTTTACACCATAGTTTCTAACATTTGAACTCGTTTTTTTCTTTATTGCGAGAGACAAAACTTTCAATTTACAGTTAATATCATCATGCTCACAAAGATAGTAATATTGATTTCTTGGGTTTCGGGTTTTTTGAATGCTTATAAGTTTTACAACTTTTCCAAGTAGTTTTATAAATTTCGTTTTCGGATGATGGTCATTTGAAATTTTAATCTCTTATTGCAGCACTACATTTTCACTAGCAGCATCTATTGCTTTCTTCAATAGCCTTGCAGAGGCTGGACTTGAAGCTTGCTTACAGGTCCTCTCTTCTCTGAAATGTGATTTTTGGTTATCAGACAAGATGCAATATCAGATATGTGAAATTATTCATCACCTTAGATTTTGATTTTCTTTGTAGGTTGTGTATGTGTGTCACTATAACTTTGGTCCATCAAAACAGAATATTAAAAACACGTGCCATCCAAGACAATATTTGTTAATAGATTTGACCATTGCATACTTGATGGTTGTATGCGAAAAGAATATAATGGTCGCTGAAGAACACAGCAAAGGTGTGAGTGATACCTATTACCTCAAAATTAGAACAATGCCCGTTTGGGTGGTTTTTCCTGTCAATGGATTGACAGACTTACGTTGTAATTGAAAAATGATTATATCACATCTGATATTGGAAAAGCAGAAAAAGAATGAAAATAGTAGAAATACATTTTTTCTGTGTACAATTAACTTGCTACGATTCCATGAAAAGCTTTAATAAAATTGGCACTTTTTTTTTGACCATTAATTTTGTACATGGTGAGCACTGAGCACATGATATTTCTCCATAATTAGTGAAAAATATTTTGATAATGTTGCTACTTTCTCTCCTGCAGTATTTCTTGAAGGCACGCTTCCACTTCATGAAAGATCAATTCGCAGATGTGTTACTCATTACCTACATTGGAGCCACCATATCAAATGTATCTTCAAAATGGCTTATTGCTGATACTTTTCATTATATCTGCCTATAAATTTGTTTCCTTGTTTTGTTAATGCTCACTATCACTGTACGATCTGGTTTCAATCTATGAAAATCTAAGAAATTGTGCAGGTGATCTTCATGCCTATATTTGGTCCTATTATCGGAGAGGAAGTGTTGCTTTCTTTAGGACTCTTTGCTGGTTTTCTAAATGTACATGACTTCAACCAAATTACTCTTTTTAAAATAAATTTCTATACACACTGGAAGATGGTGATCTATTAGTTACACGTCAATAATTTATTGTCTGGTTTGCAGATGTTTCTTGACAGCATAGCATGGTCTGCTTGGGTAATCTCTTTGGTGTACCTTGAAGTTCTTTATTATGTTAATTTGTTACTCCACATCATTCCCATATTGAACAATGTGTTTGTTTTGCATTCCCTTTGAGAAGCCAATGAGATTCCACAACCAGTTTAGTAACCCAAGTAGTTTCAAGATTTTCTATTCAAACTTGAATATTCACGCTGCCGTAATGCATTTCTAATTCTTGCTTCCACCTATTGCACTTCTATACTACAAAGAAAGCCTCGCGTGCCAAGGTTAGAAGAATCAATTCAGAATTTCAGTATGGCCCACAATGCCTTCCGACACATTGTCTTCACTCGTCTGTTCAACTATCCCCGAAGTGACATCAAACTCAACTGGCAGATTTTGATTGGTGGAAATTTCTGTACATGTAACATGATTGCATTTTTCCCGTCCACAATTTTTTGAAAACAAGGGAATGCTAAATCAATATAAGGGAATGGATGTACGTTTAGCATTATTGATAAAAATGACAACGGTAGATATTCTTTGTTCAATATCGAATCTCTTCCTAGTGTTGCCATTTAAATTAAATTGACTCTTGTTAGAGTTACACTCTGATTTTAATCAAAACTAGATAAAATTCCCAATCTGGTGTGAAGTATTCATAATATAAGTTTTCCAAAGAACGTTATTTATTCCAGCAACAATAACTCTTGAGAGAAATGTTTTGGAGACGATATTTGCTCTCCGAATTAGCCTCTAGCATGCCATACACAACTCACTCATGATGCAGATTTGAAGCAGTAGCTAATTTTAGAGTGCAAATAACACCTTCTGAGTTTTTTTTTTTTTTTTGCTACAAGTGTGTTGCACTGATGCTTTATCAATCAGAAATAAATTCTGTCATCATTTTTTGATCTGCAGGTACCTTATGCCTCCGCTGCATTGGGTGTTTTCTTTTTCCTGGCAACCCCAAATGTGAGTACACAGTTTACACTAAGTTATTATCATCTATTTTGATTACTTAGTTTTCTGAAGTGATGATTATTGGTTCTGTAATACACAGATAAGAAGCATCATTTCAAAACAAGTTGGAGACAATGAACAGGTGTTGGCTGATATTTAGTTGATTTCCATTAGCGATATATGGTCGACGGTCGTACTAAGTTTTAAGTTGTTATGTCAATCAGAAGTTGAAATTTTGCTATATATTGATCTTATTTTTAAGATTTCAAGTACTCCTTGAGTTTGTTTTAGCTGCGTTTTAACACTAACTCCATTTTCTTGTCATTTATCAGGGAGTTGCTCAAGGATGCATTTTGGGCATAACAGCATTTGCAAATGTCATCTCTCCATTAATTTTTAGTCCTCTTTCAGGTGATTTAAAATTCCCTTTGTCAATCATCGATAAGGTTGCTACTCTATTCCAAACTTACACCTCACAATATGCTTCTTCCAGCTTTATTTTTGTCCGAGACTCCTCCATTTCATTTCCCTGGCTTTAGCATCCTGTGTGTTGGACTCTCTTGGGTAATGAATTTTACTTAACAGGCATATCAACCTCAATAAATAGTCGGTCAAAGACTATCCATGACTGATTAAATCATTTTTCCCTGTTGCAAATGTCAACTAAACTCCCAATGCTAATTACATATTATCATTTGCAGCTGATAGGTTTCTTTCTGAGCACAACAATGAAGTTTATTCCCCATCGTTCAAGAGAAAAAGTCGGTAACAAGGACAGCACTGATGCCTAAATCAATTATGCCAGAGGGTTGACAAACTGAGTGCGAAGCTGAATACAAGATCAGAAAAACAAGAGTCGTCAGTAGGCACTAATATATCTGTATAAGCGTAAGCTAGAATGAACAGATATTTCAGGTGGTGGAATGTACCTTCCACAATTGGTTATACTAGCTAACTTTTCTGTAATATCATTGATGAAATCTTCAGAAAAATTTAGCCCTACTGTTTGCAATTTACCAAATGTTTATTTAATGCCATGTTCAGTTCCAACTCCAGTACCATGGATGGAGATATTAGCTTTGTGTGCATTTCTTTGTACAGTTGTGTATTTTAGAATCTTCGTACTGTCATCTTTCTTCTGGCTTGGCTATCCACCAGAAGAATTTATCATATTTCAGACAAAAAACTGGTGGAAAACCAGTATGGAGTGTTGGACCAGCTTCCTTCGCTGTGATAAAAGGGAAGGACAGTAACTTGCAATGCCAACTATTTTCATCCCCCAGCTCTAGTTCTTTATGTATGTTTTGGATCGATGTGCAGTATCTCGGCTTCACAGAAGTTAAAACTGGCTCTAGGGCTGGAAAACAGTGGCAAAGCATTTATTTGGGTTGCTAGACCACCAATTGGTTTTAGCTTGACTGAGGAATTCAAAACTGAATGGTTACCCGATAGTTTTGAGGAACGAATGAAGAAACAGAATTGAGGATTACTAATAAACAATTGGCTCCACAAAACCATATTTTATCACACGAATCCATCCGTGCTTTCCTCAGCCATTGTGGTTGGAATTCCGTACTGGAAAGTATGTGTCGAGGAATACCAATAATTGGATGGCCAATGAGCGGAGAGCAGTTTTTCAACTCCCATATGCTGGAAAAGAAGGGGTGTCTGTCTAGAGTGGAGAGATGGGAAAAACGTTGAGGTTATCGGGCATCAACGTATCTTAGAAGTGATAAAGACAGTAATGGGGAGGACTGAAAGAGGCGAGGGAATAAGAAGAGGGGCCCAAATACAGAAAGAGAAGCTGGAAAATGCAATCCATGAGAGTGAAGGTTTTAAGGGTTCATCAGGTGGAAGAATTTCTTGGTGACCTAGAAATAGCTAGTTCTTTTAAATGCTGATCAATATAAACAAACACCACCTGAGACAATTGGAAGGTATACGAAGCATAGATTGTACTCGCACTACAGAAATATGTGCAATGTGTTAAGTAAATCAAACAAAAGAGGAAAAGAAAACACTGCCAAGGATTGCAACATATTTTCGAACATTATTAACTATTGATGAACACCCATATATATTGTTTATCGTATGCTTGTTTATTCAAAGCAGAAGCAACATTAATGCATATCATCTGAAATCACATGCAATCCTAAAAAATTTAAAGACATCTATTTTTTATTGTCATCAGTTAGAAATTCTCTTTTTGTACTGTTAAGTGGCAGTTTCCATCAAAAAGAATATTGTCGATAACTAAATTTAAACTCTCATAGTATTTATGACTGTGACCTATGAGGAAAAAAAAGGATTTACAAGTACCAGCTAGCTAGCTATGCCAATGTGATATTTTAACTAGATTTGACCACCCTCAAAACCTGAGCTCAATTGCGAATCAGAAGCACATTTTGGGGCGTGAGCATCCACTTGTCCCCAAATAATTAACTTTCTCATTGAGCACAAACATTACAAACAAGTGGAATCCACCCAGATACGGCTGTGTACCTTCTTAATATTATTCTTCTCCATCAGCACCCTGATCTCATTTGCATCATCCCTTCTCCCAGTATCAGCATACATATTATACAGAGAGATGTATGGGCCCGAGCTTTCTGGTTCCAATGTCATTAATGCTTCAACTGCAACTTTTGCCAAACCAACATTGTTGTGCACTCTACAAGTGCCCAAAAAAGCTCCCCACACAGCCTTTTCTGGCTCAATTGGCATATCACAAATAACATCAATGGCCTCCTCAACCTGTCCAACCGACCGACAACATCCCCAAGGGATGCGAAATGTTCAACTCTCGGTTCAATGCCAATACACTAACCATGGATCTAAAATGTGATGTGCCTTGTTCCACTAGTCCAGCATGAGCACATGGACTGAGAACTGATATGAATGTGATATAAGTTGGTCTCACTCTAATGTGCTTCATTGATTCAAGGAGTGTCAGGGCCTCCTTGGCAAGCACATGAGACACATATCCTCCTATCATAGCTTTCCAAGAGATAACATCCTTCTGAAATTTCATCTCATCAAAGACAGTCTTTGCTTCAATTATTTCCCCACATCTAGCATACACGGTAATGAGAGAATTATTTAGTGGTATGTCTGGTATAACAACCTTTGTGACCAATTGATGAATATGCATACCTAGTTGTACATCTGCAGTTTCAGCACAAATGCTAAGAAGCGAGGACAAAGTGTGACGGTCGGGTTTTTCTCCTTCTTTCTGCAGCTTAAGAAAAAGTTCAATGCCTCCTTCGTAGTCTGCATTTTCTTCACATTCTGCTATTATGGTATTCCAAGAAACCAGATTTTTCTGAGGCATCCTCTCAAAGAAATTGCTAGCAAGGTCCATATCCCCTGCCTGTATGAAGCCCGAGATTATCAAATTCCAAGACAAGGTATCAGGGTTTGGCATTTCTGAGAAGAGTTTGGTCGCCTCATCCATATCCAGCACATGAACATAGCCACTTATCATTGTGTTCCAGGAAAATGTATCTCGGTACTCCATCAGATCAAACAGCTTCCTTGCAGAAACAATATCTCCAACTTTGACATAGCACATAATCATAGAATTCCAAGACACCACATTTCTTTCGAACCTCAAGTCTCCCACACTTTCCTTGTTACCACGAACATGTATCTGATCAAAAAGACGTCGAGCATCCTCAGCCCTACCTTTCTGGCCGTACCCAACAATCAAAGTATTTTAAGCGTGAACGAGGTCTTTTCCCTGTCACCCCTTTTCCCATATTTAAATAAGAGATCAACGGCCTCATCAAGTTCATCATTTTGAATCAAACCAGACACAAGGGCACCAAGAGAAGCTACATCTCGTTTTGGCATCCTCTTAAAAAACTCTATAGCTCCCTTCACATCTCCATTGTGCAAGAACCCAGTAATCATTGTGTTCCAAGTAACCACATTCCTCTCCAGCATACCATTAAAAAGCCTCAAGGCATCATCCATCCTACCATTCTTTGCATACCCACTAACCATAGTATTCCAAGAAACAAAATCCCTCTCAGGCATTTTATCAAACAAGTATCTACCTTCTTCTAAATGTCTCCTTCCATGGCATGACACATACACTAAAGCGTCAAATTCCACAACCCCACGTATCTTTTTAGGATTTCATCATATAGTTTCCGCGCATTACCAATATCTCGGCGTTGGACATACCCACTTTGTTAAGGGATATAATCCCACATCGTATAAAGATGTAAACATAGACCAATTTATAAAAAGGTTTGGGTTACTCCTCTTAATAAGGTTGACNAAGATGGAACCCCAATTCTTCTTAGGGGTACTTACAAAAATACTCTTAAAATTAGGGATGTTTTGAAAAATCATATGAAAGGTTTTTAGGAAGTAAAAAATACTGTGTAAAATGAAAAAGTGACACAATGTCACTTTTTTTATAACAATTGTCACTTTTTTTATTTTTTAAAAAAAGTGACAAAAACTCAAAAAAGAGTGACACACACTCTCTCAAAAAGTGATACAAACTCAAAAAAGTGACAAACTCAAAAAAAAAAGAATATTGTTATCATTAATCAAAACCTTATATTCAGTTTAATAAAGTGACAGATATTAAAATAGTGACGACTAAAAAATAGCGACAAAACATCAATTAAAACTTTGGAATCAATTCAATAAAGTGACAGAAATTTTTAAAACTGATAAAAACTAAAAAAAGTGACAACATTAAAAAAAGTAATGAAACCCCGATCACTTTTTTGGGTGAATTGTATCACTTTTTAATAAAAGTGACCTTGGATCACTTTTTAATAAAAAGTTAAGTGTAATGTCACTTTTAATATCACTATTTAATAAAAAAAATAACGTATAATATTACTTTCATTAAAAAAGTAAAGTGAAATACAATGTCACTTTTATTACAAATTGATATTTGTCACTAAAAATGTGACATAAATTAAAAAAAAAGTAACAAACAAAAAAAAAAAAGTGATAGAAAAAGTGACTAACACTAAAAAAGTGACATGAATTCAAAAAAAAGGTGACAAACGTTCAAAAAAGTGACAAAAAGTTTTTTTAAAAAAATGCAAACATTCGAAAAAATGACTAGATATGATTTTTCATGAATTGTGCAACGTAAGCTCAAATTAATGCATCAAACTCCACATTACAGTTTCATAAATTTGGAACTGGGATCCAAATCTCTACTAAAGCCTTATTCTCAACAAATTGGGTTTTTGCCCTTTTCGTGAATCCATTTGATTCAGTCATAATTGTAATAATTCCCAAAGGTAAAACAATCCAACTGCATTCAAAACATATTTCCATTCTTTACGAGTCCTTTCTTTTCTTGTATCTGTATAAGCCATCATAATCATAATCCAGATACAAGTGAACAAGATTGTACTTGTCAACTTCTTCTTCGTTAACGACAACCTCCACGATGATCATTTTTCCCGTGTCTGCACGAATAGCTTCTTTGCACTTTTCAAGATGTCTATGCACTCTTCGTCGTTCCAATCATGTAAAACTTCCTGAAAACTAATATAAATGAATAAATAAATTTCTTCCATCTCCAACAACTAGTTAACCATAAAACGAAACAAAAATAAAATCGGGTTTCTTTCGAAAACTAACTAAGCATACCATGATGAAAACAACATCATCCTTAGGAACACTTTCAAACATATTGCCTCCAACATGCTCAACTCCATCATAATGTGGAGCAACGGACGCTACATGGGGAGATCAAAATCTATCCCCTTTAATTCATGGACAAGCCTCAACCAAAATGCTAAGAGACGTTCCATTGCCACCACCACCATCCACCAAAGAAGTAATCCCTTCGAAAATCTCTGGGTGGTGATCAAGAAATGATGGCACTGTTATCCTAGCCATGCATCCATTGCGTCATCTATCAGCTTGCTACGGGCTGGATATTCCGCAGTATAGCGCCATAGTTCCTCACCGTTCGCGGCCTAAAATGATGAAGTTTCGTTAGATAAAGCTCGTACACTTAGACTAAGCCATGGTGCAAGCATTACCGGGCTGATCTTTAGGAGCAAAAGATCAACCATGCTATTGGCTCCATTTCTCATTAGAAGCCGGGAAAGGGGCGTTTGAGCGTAAACAGTTGATTCTAATTGATCTTTATTATTATTCTCTGTCTCCTTAAAAATCTGACGGTGAATCAAGAACCTCATGATGCAGTAGAGAGCAGAAGGTGAGCAACCAATGGCCGAAGAAAGCACGATGAGTGTCATGAGATTCACCTAGACATCAGGGATTCCAAGATCAACAACACACTTCATTACAGCCATTGAAGTAAAACCAAACACATAATTCCAAATATCTATTTGTGCTTGGCCTTCATCTCTTTTGCTTATTGCTTCTTTCATTGTCTTTACTCTCTCTCTCTCTCTCTTTCTTTCTCTCTCTCGTTAATTTCTGGAGAGTGTACAAAGTGAATCTACTGCTAGGGATGACAACGGGGCAGGTTCGGGGTGGGGCACCCCTACCTCACCCCGCTCTGCCCCGCCACTGCCCCGCTTCGCCCCGCCCGGTCGGCGGGACGGGGCGGGGGCAGGACCGTTTCCCTGCCCATTTATTTTTTTTATAATTTTTTTTTGCTCTAAAAAATTTCCAATTATACGGTTAAGGAAAAAGATAACTCTACTTCCAAAAAAATTGTTCATCAAATTTAAGAACATAAATCTATAACTGTACTTCCAAAAAACATTTATTCATCATGTATTCTAGCAGATAATACATAGATATTTTTTTAACTGTTTAAGGGGTCGGGTTTGGGGCGGGGCATCTCCGCCCCGCCCTGCGACCCGAGACAGGGCGCCCCACCCCACCACGCCAACCCACTCGGGGCCCTTTTTTCGCCCCATTCGGGGCGGGGCACCGTCGGGGCGGGGTGGGGCAGTTTTTATATTATGCTCGTTTATTTTTTATTGGTGGATAGATGGAAAATGGGGATAGATGAGAGAGAGAAAGAGGGAGTGAATTACCTAGAAAATAAAAACTACCCCCTCCCTAAAGAAAATATTTTCCATTGAAAAAATTCTCAATTAAATATTCAACAAATATGAATTTGAGTGAAAAAACGACATTTTTCATGAAAAGTAAAGCTAAACAAACACTCTAAAAGCAAATTTGATATAGATGAAAATATTACTTCATTTGTTGAGGCAATGAGTTACTTGAAGATTAACACATATTTGAAGAGGCCAACAAGGATCAAAGAGATTTTGTGGAATTTCTTTAACATATAATTTCTTAATTAAGAGACTCATTTTAGGTAAGATGAGAACAGTGATGAGCTCTTCGTTGGCTTGTCTCTCATTTGAGGTGAGTTAGGGCAAGAACCGAGCAGCAAAAAACTCTTACGACAGCCTGCACAAGTTGACTCTCATGCTGGCTCAACTTGTGCCACCAAGGGGCGAGCTAGTGGGGCTAGTCGAGCCCAATTTCCTTGAAGCAAGCCAACTCGCATGGTAGGCCGAGCAACTGGACTTGATCCGACCCATTTAACACCCCTAATTTTAGGAGTAAGACTTCTATTGTTACGTTTTTTTTATATCGCAAATGTACGATATCGTAACAAGTAATATAGTGGACCTTTGAGTCCGAATTATCATTCCCACGAGGACTATACTTTAGACCTTAATTAATTATTTCTAACTCGTATTTGATGCAAATAAACAAAAATATGGATTTGTTGAGACTATTTAATTTAAACGCGTAAAATTAAATTGAATAAAAAATAAACACAGTTTATCGAGAATTCAAATAATAACGGTTCTTAGGGCGGAACAACTTCACATATTGATCACCCTTATTCCTTAAATCAAGATTCATAACCTAATGTAGTGTTCGGTTGAATTCTTCTATTGTATTCAATTTACCCCTCTCGAGTTCTCATTGAGCCTATTTAACTAATTCAATTCCATATCTCTATGCGAATTAACGTTAGTCAAACGAAACATTGGCTCTAAGAATTCAATTATGACCACAATAATTAACATAGGTATCTCTACACGTTATGCCAATTTACCGGATTTTACTATTTGGTCTAAACCCTAAACTCACATCTCGACTCGTAAATGATTCACAAAATCATTCAATTAGTGATCAAGTAATTAAATGCATTAAGATCATAGTAAAAATCAACACATAAAATATAAAAACAAGAATCTCAAATTAACGAAATAAAGGATCCCAATTCAGCTACATTGTTCGCCCTAAAAATAATTTAGCTACGCATAATGTAAAAATAAAACATGCAAAAGAAGAAGGAGATCACCAAATTTTGACAGAACTTGGAGTCTACGTGAGAATATATGATATATGTATAGATTGGCCAAAATTCAGCACTTCTTTCTCCACGTATCAGCCGGCTTGTGTGCTTGAATCTTCCTTTGTTTTTCTTTTCGTTTCAGTACCTTCTTCAGTTCTCTGTCCGTGTGTATACTCAACACAGTAGCCGCCCAAAATTTCTCCAAAAACCTGTGTCTCCCTTTTTCTCTAGCCGGGTATGGTGTATATAGAATATATTCTAGCCCTCTCTTTCTTCTCTTTCTTTTATAATTTCAACTCAAATCTCTCTAATTTTCTCCTCCTCACCGTCGTCTGTCTCCCACTTTCTTTTTATTTTTGGTAATCTCCCCCAGGTAATGTAATTAGGTAATCAAGTATTATCCCCATTGAAAGTCCACATGTGAGGTCCATTAACCATTTATTTCTCCAAGTCATTCAGGCTTTAGAATCAATGCAATTTAGTCCTTCAATTTCTATAATGTAGACTTTTGTCCCCAAAATTGCCGATTTCATTCAATTTCATCATTCTTTTATTTCCAATTGCTTCAAACGAATCCACAACTACAAAACAAAAGAAAATTAACCCAAGTTAAGTATAAATTAANAACCCAAATTAAGTATAAATTAACAATTTGACGATGTAAAATCCTAGTAATATGACCCTAAATAGGCGCACAAAATACACTTATCAAACACCCCCAAACTTGAGTTGTTGTTTGTCCTCAAACAAAACTAAAATTTAACGCACACTCAAACATGCAATGTTAATTACCTAATTAATAACCAGTCAATCGAGCAATGCAAAATGATTTAGCTAGCTATCTTGGCTTTTTGTCTCAGAATTGAAATCATAATATCAAATCTACGCATAGTTTCAAAATCACAATACATAAACTAAAATCTACTTTTCCAATGAAAAATCGACGTATGTGTGTGACGTTTCCCTGCCTTTTTTATTTTTTTTATAATTTCTTTTTTGCCCTAAAAAATTTCCAATTATAAGGTTAAGGAAAAAGATAACTCTACTTCCAAAAAAATTGTTCATCAAATTTAAGAACATAAATCTATAACTGTACTTCCAAAAAACATTTATTCATCATGTATTCTAGCAGATAATACATAGATATTTTTTTAACTGTTTAAGGGGTCGGGTTTGGGGCGGGGCATCTCCGCCCCGCCCTGCGACCCGAGACAGGGCGCCCCACCCCACCACGCCAACCCACTCGGGGCCCTTTTTTCGCCCCATTCGGGGCGGGGCACCGTCGGGGCGGGGTGGGGCAGTTTTTATATTATGCTCGTTTATTTTTTATTGGTGGATAGATGGAAAATGGGGATAGATGAGAGAGAGAAAGAGGGAGTGAATTACCTAGAAAATAAAAACTACCCCCTCCCTAAAGAAAATATTTTCCATTGAAAAAATTCTCAATTAAATATTCAACAAATATGAATTTGAGTGAAAAAACGACATTTTTCATGAAAAGTAAAGCTAAACAAACACTCTAAAAGCAAATTTGATATAGATGAAAATATTACTTCATTTGTTGAGGCAATGAGTTACTTGAAGATTAACACATATTTGAAGAGGCCAACAAGGATCAAAGAGATTTTGTGGAATTTCTTTAACATATAATTTCTTAATTAAGAGACTCATTTTAGGTAAGATGAGAACAGTGATGAGCTCTTCGTTGGCTTGTCTCTCATTTGAGGTGAGTTAGGGCAAGAACCGAGCAGCAAAAAACTCTTACGACAGCCTGCACAAGTTGACTCTCATGCTGGCTCAACTTGTGCCACCAAGGGGCGAGCTAGTGGGGCTAGTCGAGCCCAATTTCCTTGAAGCAAGCCAACTCGCATGGTAGGCCGAGCAACTGGACTTGATCCGACCCATTTAACACCCCTAATTTTAGGAGTAAGACTTCTATTGTTACGTTTTTTTTATATCGCAAATGTACGATATCGTAACAAGTAATATAGTGGACCTTTGAGTCCGAATTATCATTCCCACGAGGACTATACTTTAGACCTTAATTAATTATTTCTAACTCGTATTTGAT